TCATAACGGCAATGACAAATTTGACAAGAACATATTTCTTCGACCTCGACTAAGGATCCATAGATGCAAAACTGCTCTTGATGAGTTAACAACCAACGTTCGATCTGGTTGCTCTGTCTGCTCGACTTCTCTGCCGGAGACCCCGGAAACTTTGGGGAGACCTTTCTACAATTGATATCGACGCCAAGAAAACACAATTTCAACTACATAATCTCTTTATACATATCGAATTAAATGAAAACATTATGATCAAATGCTTCGGAGAACTATTACAAGACCTAGGAGAAGAAAACTATTACCTAGGCCTAGATTGACAAAAAGCAACACCCAGTAAGCAAACATGCATGACCCCAAAAACTAGTATCCTGACGCTGCAAGCCTGGCCTTCTCCTCGTCGTCCTTCTTCACAACTTCATAATCAGGAAGATCCTCCTTCACATCACGATGTGCAACCTCAGGCTGTGTTTGCTCTCGAGTCTCTTGCGCCTGAGGTTCATCGGTGTATCTCTCCTGCTTCTCAGATAAGATGCCATCCCCAGGAGGAGGGATCTGGCCAACTGCTTGCACAACAGTTTGGTTATAGTCTGTTCGGCCTTGAAGAGCCTGAAGAACCTCAAACAGTGGTTTGCCTGCCATAGGCCAAGCAACATCGCCGCATAAAATCTTCTCTGCCGTTATACCGCGCTCATTATAGAAAGTAGCATTGGCATCTCCTCGCGTCACAACGATAGTACCGTCGATTTGAACACCCATCCACAAACCGCGGCTCTTCATGTAACTCCACATAGGTCGAGCAGTCTTGCTGAGCGCAGCCTCAACACTACCACCTGTTCCGATAGGTCCCAAAGCAACTGAGCCCTCAGCGCCGAATGACAACCGAGGTTTTGTGAAGGCGGCGACTTGCTCTGGGGTGTTGAGGACACAGACACAGTCATAAACATCGAGTCCAAAGACGAAGCCAGCTCCGAGACTGCTTACGATGAAGGAGGAGGGAGGAGACCATGTACCGTCTGAGCGACGGGCGATGACTACACCAGAGCCCCCTGAGAGAGAGTTATGACCTGGACCAGCACGAATGACGTTGAAGATGGCGAGGCCGGCAGCGCTTTGGAGGACTGAAGGTGGAATTTTGACCATTGACTTGCGTGTAAGACCGGTTGGGTGGAGGGGTCCTTTTTCAGTGGGCGACGTAGAGGAGTTGAGGTCTAGACTTGTAAGTAAGGTGCTTTTTAGGATGTTTGTATAGTCTTACTCGTGAAGGAGTGAAGGATACGGGCAGCCTTGCTGCATTCCTTGACCATGGTAGAAGGCCACCAACCCTCAGCACCGAACAGATTTGCGGCCTTGTTCAATGGTGAACCAGCCTTGGCGCTGATCTTGTGGAACCTCTCGCCAGCTGTGGGCTTAGTGGTAGAAGACACATCGCGATCTTGAGGTTGGGGTTGGGGTTGTTGATACTCTGTGCTATCAGGTTGGATAGAGTAAGAGGGAAGTTGACCGGCTTGCTTGAGAGGATCAACGTCCTCGATGAACTTGTTGGATGTAGAGTAAAGAGTCATTGTGATGATTATCCGAAGTATACAAACGGTATGTGAGTGAAAGTGACTGTATAAAAACTGAAGATTGCAGATTGTATGGTTCTAATACACTCGGCCAGGCACTATTCATCCTTATATGTCCTTGCTCGCTGTATTATCCCGATTCCACACATCTCGCATTCTCTTAAGCCTACGCAATCTCGTCCAACCAAACAGTGTATTGCTGTTGCCTCTAGGCGCAGTAAACGCGGCCGCCTAGCTAAGATGGGTGTGTAGTGCGCGGACTGAGGCGCAGCGTCGCCGCACGAGACGCGAGACAAGGGCGAATGACGATCCACCATGAGGAACGGGTGATAACTCAAGCAAAGAGACGATACTATTTCGAAATATACCTCAATTTCATCAACAAACACCGCAGTTGCAAAGCTTTCTTGGCTCAGTTGGTTAGAGCGTTGGTCTCATATCTGTATAGAGTGACTTAGCTTCAAGCTAGGGTTATCCAAAGGTCGTGAGTTCGAACCTCACAGAGAGCAATCCTTTTTGCTGATGGTGTTGTGAAGTTGTTGGAACGATCATGACCAGCCCCACTGTTTAAGCCTTACCGTGCGAGTTGGTAAAGTGGTGGCATATAAAGTGGGCCCGGTCACTCGAGTGCCAATCAAAAGCATGGATTATAGCCTTATACAGTCTCGATACGTTATAATACTGTACCACCCATAACAATGGGCTTCGCTTCTATTGTACCTTGTAATGCAAATAGTTTAACGTTTGTGTTTACCAGTAACGGACATGCGTTCACAAGGGTCAAACAGGCGAAAGTGTCGATTCTCATAAATAAACAGGCGCGGCTAGCCAGAAGGTTTCCCTATATCCCTTCACTGAATCTTTGATGCTCTTGTGATCAAGAGGTGCCTTTGGAGTTTACGATCTTGTTAGTATCATCAAATTGTGAGTTTTTATTGCTGCCATCGAGCGCAAATGAAATTACTCATGAAGTATGAGTTCCTCCATTCTTGAAGAGTCTGGTTGAAGAACATAACCACCTAATACATGCTTCAATTTCGATTCAACAGCTTGGCATCGGTATCATGTTAAAAGCAATACCGGTTTTGGAGCATTTGTACCCAGCATTGATCCCTGGAACGAAGGGGTTCTACATACACCACCGTCAGCCGATCTCAGTCTATAGACACTCGGCAATTTTTTGCATTGTGGCCAGACTTATAGGGCAGATGAAGAAAAGCCTGGCGCACACCAAACAACTCCGGTGGTTATAGCAAGACCATTGGCTATTGGCCTTGTCTAATGCTCCAGTTCAAGAATTCTATGGTTGTATCACATATGATACAGAAGGCACAACATCGCTTAACTAGTCACAACATTCACAATTACAGACGATAGAAATGAAGGAGGCAGCGGCGTCGTTCACCTAATATTGACACCTTGGGCCTCCTACACCCTCGAACAATGTTCGGAGTCAACGGATAGCAAACGCAAAGATCGATGCAGATGGTGCGACACAGGCTCACTGAAGTCAGGTCTATATGACTATTGGATCATGAAGAAGTTAGCGCAAGCCGTAGCCTGCATGCACACGAGCGGTCAATCAAGCACAATGATATCAAGCCTGACGACGTCTTGCTCTATGCCCGGGATTCGCCAAACATCCGCCCTCTTGTTACTAATGCTGGTGTGAGCAAGGTATTCGTCCACGGAGGTTCAACCAAATTCGACGACTGCTTGTGTATCTTACTGGCTCCAGAGCAAGTCGCACATCTGGAGAGAAACCTCCATGCCGATATATGGCAACCTGGATGCTGCTTTGCTCTGATGCTCGGTGTAGCAATGAGAGGTACAGCTGGACGAGATGAGCTGTGAAAGAGCTTTTGCAGACAAAGGATCGACGTTCGAGTCAAATTGCTACAGAACATGTGCAATTCATGAAGAGTCTCAAGGCTTTATGTGACGAGGGCTCATGTAGAGGCGAAGCCTTGAGCAACCAGTTGGCATATGAGCTTGTATCGGGCATGTTGGACAAGAACCATGAAACAAGGCTAGAGATTCATCAAGTCTTGTCACGCCTTGACCTAGTTGTTGCTCAGATGAGCACAGTTGTAGTGGGAGATGTTGACATGAGCTACTCGTGAGGAACTGGAAGGCAGTGGATGGTTATATAGCGTTTGGACAACTCGGAGGAGCAGTTTCTAAATTTCTACGGGTAGGTTGGATTGGTTGGGCGTCAAACGGTATCTTGAAATGTCAAAAAGACCATAATTAATTGTCAATTCGACTAATCTTTACACATCCCGTCGTCACGGTTGATGCATCGGCAGAATACTGATATCGCAGGCCAAGCAAGTGTAACATCTGATTGGCCGCCCCGTACCTCACTCCCCGGGCAGATCCCAATTGCCGTGTGTAGTGGGTACGTACCCAGCACATCCCCCACGTCATCTCAAAGGAAAGCTGACCTCAACCTCCCTGAAGAGGTATCTCAAGCACCTCCCATAATGACAATTGTACCACAAACACCATAAACCAACTTCAACCATCCACGCTCCTTTCTCACTCCGCCCATCGCAGCAATGGCCCCCGCCGCTACAAACTCTTACAGCGAGACTGCTCGTGACAACGCATCAGGCTTCATCGCCTACGCGCGGAGCTCCGTGGATCGTGTTGTCCCGCCTAATTCTCGACAGAAAGCTTATGACAATACTGCTTCTTTTGCTTCATCGCGACCTATTCTCTTTGTACGTCCCCTCTCACCGCCTATCGACCATCACTAACAAGACAGTCCTTTATTGTATCACAACTTCTTCTCTCTTTCCTCCCTCTTCTGATCTTCCTCACATTCTCCCTCTCAACCATCGTGTTCGCCCTTGGTGCAGCAATCGTCTTTGCTCTTTTCTGGATTGGCGTTGCCCTTCTTGTTCTTGTGCCTGCACTGCTCGTCACTTCGTCCATCGCCGTTCTCGTCTGGGGCTGGGCCATCGGCAGCTTCATCATTGCGCGATGGCTGTACAACCATTCACCTGTCGGAGTGCAGAACAATGAGGTTGTGAAGAAGGAGAACGGCAATTAGTTTTACGCCTACACCGTCTGCCAGCTTGGTATTAGAAGCAACAACTGGGATCCTCATGATATGTCTGCATTTTGGGATCCGTGTATGGGTTATGGAGGATATCGGGATGGACAATAAAGTATCGGTTTGGTATGGAGTTTGTTTTGTGCACTGATCAAGGCCCAATGGTAATGGAGGCGGGATACGACCCGTTCACAAAAATTGCAGAAGCATTGCGCTGTCAACATGTAACATTACACTGAACATCAAGTCCTAGGCTATTGCCAGCCTAAGCATTAACCCTAGTACAAGACGTTCCGCTCAAAGTGGCTGTTAAACCTCTAGTTCTCATTAATAACCGAGATCCATCTATCTGTCCCAATCGCTCATGTACAAGTGCTTTACAGATACAGACCCTCTGGCTCACCCTCCTGCTTTGTACGGAGTACTCTCTCACGCGCTGATCGGAAGTCCGCCATTTGCACCCGCATTCGTCGTTCTCGGAGAGCGAGCAGACCGGCTTCGGAGCAGATGGCCTTGATATCGGCACCTGAGAGATCGTCCTTCTGAGAGATGAATTCCTCAAGGTCGACATCATCGTTGAGGTTCATCTTTGAAGTGTGAAGGGTAAAGATCTTGCGCTTGGTGTTCTGGTCGGGGTTCTCGAAGAGAATCTTTCGATCGATACGTCCAGGTCGGATCAGAGCAGGATCCAGGGTATCGATCTTGTTTGTGGCCATGATGACCTTGACGTCTCCACGGTCATCGAAACCGTCAAGCTGGTTGAGAAGCTCCAGCATAGTTCGCTGGACTTCACGCTCACCACCTGATGTTGAGTCGTATCGCTTCGTACCAATGGCATCGATTTCGTCGATAAAGACGATAGAAGGAGCGTTCTCACCAGCAACCTGACGGTGTTAGTGACAATCAAACACACAAAAGAGACCACATACCTGGAAAAGCTGTCGCACAAGTCGGGGACCGTCGCCAAGATACTTCTGAATAAGCTCACTACCCACGATACGTAGGAAAGTGGCGGAGGTCTGGTTGGCGACGGCCTTGGCCAGCAATGTCTTTCCAGTACCGGGAGCACCGTAGAGAATGACACCCTTGGGAGGCTTGATGCCCATCTCCTCGTAAAGCTCTGGATGGAGCAGTGGCAACTCTACTGATTCTCTGACTTCCTGAATTTGCTGCTCCAGACCACCAATATCGGCGTATGACTCGGTAGGAGCTTTGTCGAGCTTCATGACACTGACGATAGGATCGGCATCGTCTGTGAGCACGCCAACGATACTGACACTCTTATGGTGCAAAAGAACACTGGCGCCAGGCTCTAGCAAGTCCTTGTCGACGAAGCTCATGATGCTAACGTAGTACTCAGGACCAGTAGTACTGCTGACGATCGCATGATCATCATCGATCAACTCCTCTAGAGTTCCAACACCCATGGGGCTTCCTCGCATGTCATCGACACGGCCACGCTCGTCTGCTAATCGATCGACATCGGCATCGGTGCCAGCAGATTGACCCTCCTTGGCTGCCTTGGCCTTGCGCAGGCGTTCCTGGTTCTCGACGTACTCCTCCTCGAGCAAGAGATGATCGTGGATTCGCTGCATTCGCAAAAGTCGGAGCTTGCATCGGCTGGTAGGGTAGACGGCGGGAAGTTTCTGAGCGGCGCTGGTGCCGCCAGCCTTTCTCTTCTTGCGACCGACTCGTGTGGTAGGTCGAGGCGGAGGTTCGTACTTGGGCTTATCCTTCTATTAGGTTGTTAGAGCGGGATTGGAGGCTCCGGGCGGGTTTCTTGCCTTCTTATCCTTCTCATCACGTCCCCCTTCTCCCATGCCGGATTGACCTTGACCCTAGATAACGTCAATAGCTGTTAAGCTGCATTATGACAGAAGTGTTTACCATTTTGTCAGGATCAGCTCTGGGAGCTATAGATTATGTGATATCGGTTGTTTAGCGTGGCAGTGGTTTCAATGAGGTGAGTCGTGATGGTGGATGTGATTTGACGTGGAGGAGAGAGGTCGAGGCTCCCAAGCTTAGTGATGATGAAAGCGACCGCCAGGCGCCAGGGAAACACGACAGCAGCTCCAGCCTAGTCACGTGCATCACCAAGCTGAGTCACGTGCAGCTTCAAACATCAACATGAATGCAGATGTCGGAATCGAGGGACAACATGTTATTTGAACTTATAAAAACTGGAGTTTTGAATCGCGAGCTCAAATTACTTCTTACATGTCCCTTCGTCTGTTTGGGGTCGATGCTAGCATCTCATAGACATGTCGCTATCGATGTTGACGAAAACAGTTGGAAGGCTACGACTGATGTCTCAAATCTCAATGGTGCAAAAGAGATTTCTCGACCTATAGTTCAGAGTTGAAAATACAAAGGAAAAGCACTGGTCTTGATGAGTAGACTGAAAGAAACTTCCACGCAAGCCGACACTTAAAGCTAGCCTCGCAGTCTTGAAAAGCGCTAGCTTTTACAGCCAGAATTTAATGTGACGAAAACGAGAGAAAATAGTAAAGCCCATATGATATGATTGGCTTTAGTCTATATTCCTCCCAACACAAAGCAATCCGAGCTCTACAAAATTGAATAAGCTCTAAGTGAGGCTGTTGAACGCACCTTGTTGTCACAGTCAAATAAGGTGGAATAATACCAGTTGGTCAGGGAAAGCTTTTAGAGAATAAAGTTTTTACTGAAATATATGTAGAGCAGCACTGTTCCACCGCCTACTCTTGCCATTGAAGCACATACAAACAGACATTGAACTTCTATCCAACCATTTTTCGTGGACTTGATCCATGATATTCTATTTTTGAACCCAACACTGCGACCCAAGAGTAACACCCCCCGCAGGACGCTAACTCTTAGCGGTCTCTCAGTGGAGTGACGTCGGCCACCTTCTTCTAAGCTACGCCACAGCCTGACAAAATCCAAGGACCCCTCCCTTTCCGTCCAATATCACCAACCGAATAGCCTGCCTTGCCTGCACAAGACACGACCTGACCTGCAGAAGGCCTGTCTTACGGCCCAAAGTTATCTCTTGTCTCCTCAATCGATCCAACCATTCTCCTTTTTAATTCAGCTCTATTCAATAACCTCAACTCTTCCATCACCGCTTCTTCCAAGAGTATCACCATCATGTCTCGGGACCGGCGTGTAGCCAAGGAGCTCAGGGACATCGAAGCCGATCATGACGACTCAGGCGTCAACGCGACCCTCGTCAACAACGACTTGAAGCATCTCAAAGGAACATTCCCTGCGCCGCCCGATACCCCTTATGCTGGAGGCACCTTCACAGTCGACATACAAATCCCGGATCAGTATCCTTTCAAGGCACCAATGATAAGATTTGACACCAAGATCTGGCATCCAAATATCAGCAGTCAGACCGTACGTCAACTTTCTTCAAAATAGCGGACATAGTGCCCAAGAACAGCCATCTTGGTGGATTGGCGACAGCCAGCAAGAGGTGGACTATGACAAGAAAGAAATTCAAGACACTAACTCAGCTTTCAGGGCGCTATCTGTCTCGACACTCTCAGCTCCAACTGGTCTCCCGTCCAGACCATCAAGACTGCTCTTCTCTCCCTTCGAATGCTTCTCGAGTGCCCAAACCCCAAGGACCCGCAAGATGCCGAGGTTGCAAAGATGATGATAGAAGACCCCAAGCGCTTTGCTCTCATGGCCCATGAATGGGCTGTCAAATACGCCGGTGCTCCACGACAAGACGTTGACGTCACTAAATACCAAAACGACGTCGCAGCTGCTCCGGTCAAGGATGATGTTGCTCGGTACGTCAAACATGGAGATGGAGAGAATGTAGCTAACACAAGGTAGACTCTCTGGATACAACAGAGACCTTGTCGAACGTTTCGTGAACATGGGCTTCGCATTGGATGATGTTGTCGAGGCGTTCATTCACTTCGGCATAGATCGCAATGGAGGTCGAGACTACGAGCTGGAAGAAGCTTACATGGGGGATGTCGTTTCTAGACTGCTACACGAAAACTAATGTGGACTATGGAGGACCAAGAGAAGGAATGGCGACCTGAAACACAATTTCTTTTAAGCATGGTATGGGGAGTTTACGTCGGATTGTTTTAACAACTTACCATAGACTGGGTACGGGGTCTGCACTTCATATGGGTTGTAGGCCACGATAAATGACACAAGATAGGTGGTGGAGATACTTAACGGTAATACATGAAGCAATTCTTCACTTGTTTGCACGCCTTAGGGGGGAGGAATTCTAGGGACGTCGATCCTAAATGCCATAAAGACTTAGACAACTTAGTATAAGTTTAGGTACCTAACTTAGTATAGGTATGGGATACCCTTGACACCCTGTGTTAAGGTCTCACGTTGTTTTGCTGCCCGAGGCACGCCTACACCATTTCTCGTACATCTACATAGTCACATGTGCATGAGCCAGCATGATACTATAGCTTGAAACACTTTTCGACATTAGATGGTTCATGTTGTAATGTGACATTGTTGGCGCATTGCGTGCTGAGGGTTATGGCACACTCGCCTGCGGAAAAGGAACACCAAAAGGCCTTTCCACAATCTAGCCTGCGCGCCAGCCAGACCATCCTTGCTCTATCAGGTACGTACGAAGAAATCATGCAGTATGATGCAAATAGCCCTCCATGAGCGAGTCCCCGGTCAATGGACTGGACTCTACCAACTCACTCCCCGACTCACACGTCTTGTCTCCCAAGGGTGAACCAAATAGTAGACGTATCTTAGTTAAAAAATTATAGCAGATCGCGGCGGACGAACTCGTTGTAGAGAGCCTTGCCCAGACCAGCGGGAGAGCGCTCGACAATGACACCAGCGTCCTCGAGAGCCTTGATCTTGGTGTCGGCACCACCCTTACCACCGGAAACGATAGCACCGGCGTGTCCCATTCGTCGACCGGGAGGAGCAGAGATACCAGCGATGAAGCTGACAACGGGCTTACCACCGTTGACAGTGTTGGCCTGCTTGAGGAACTCGGCGGCATCCTCCTCGGCAGAACCACCAATCTCACCAATCATGATGATACCGTCGGTGTCGGGGTCCTCAGTGAAGACCTTGAGGCAGTCGATGAAGTTGGTACCGGAGAAGGGGTCACCGCCGATTCCGACAACGAGAGACTGACCAAGACCGGCCTGGGTGGTCTGGTTGACGGCCTCGTAGGTGAGGGTACCGGAACGAGAGACGATACCGATGCGGCCGCGCTTGTGGATGAAGCCAGGCATGATACCGATCTTGCACTGTTCGGGTGCAATGATACCGGGGCAGTTGGGTCCGACGAGACGGGTCTTGCTTTGGGTCTTGAGCATGTCGGTGATGCGAACCATGTCTAAGTGGGTCCCTTGTTAGAAACCTTCAAAACGTTCCATCGACGTTGCAAAAACCTACCGTGCTGGGGGATACCCTCAGTGATGCAGACAACGAGGGGGATCTCGGCCTCGAGGGCCTCCTCGATACCGGCGGCGGCCAGAGGAGGACTGAGAAAAATTATTAGGGGTCGTTTTCGTTTGGGGTGTGGTTGATTAGACGTACGGGACGAAGAGACCAGTAGCAGTGGCACCAGTCTCCTTGACGGCTTCACCAACGTTCTTGAAGACAGGGAGGCCGAGGTGAGTCTGGCCAGCCTTCTTGGGGTTTGTTCCACCGACGACCTTGGTGCCTGTTTGTCGAGAGTCAGTTTTTGTCACATGTATCATCGTGACATCGATATAGCGAGGACCGTACCGTATTCGATAGCTTGTTGAGCGTGGAAACTACGTCATTCGTTAATTTTGTATGCCCTCTCGAAATCCAAGAATTGCACAAACTCACGTTCCCTGCTTTCCGGTGAAGCCCTGGTAGATGACCTTGGTGTCGGCGTTGATGCGCAGGTTGTTGATGGTCTGGGCATACTGCGACGAAGAGTAGGCTCGACGGCCAACGTTTTGCAGCGCCGAGGCGCGAGTTGCTCTGGCGAAGGACTGCATGATGCCGGGGGGTGGAGGGGAGAGGGAGTGAGAGAGAAAAAGAAACGTCGCTGTTTGTTGCAACGTCTAGAGGATTAACTTGAGGTTTTGGAATTGGAAGGGAAAAACCGTCGATACCAGGAGCTTTCGGGAGGTTCGTGGTTTCGTTCGTATCAAGATTATCCCGTGGCCGGGATTCAACGGCCTAAGCCCAAATGGGTCGACACACGCACTTTCCTCTCAAGGTCAGTTGGTGCTTGACCTTGCGCTACGGGTGGTCTCGGAGTCAGTATGCCGAGTGAGATAGGACGGGAGATAGATGATCCGGGGTGAGACGTAAAGGAGAGCCACTCACAAGAGCGCGTGGAGAATCTGTCGTGGTGAGCGTTTTGAGATACGGTTAATCGCGGGTTCTCGGTGAGGGCGAGACGACGGGAAGATGCGTCATTGGACGTGATGAGGACCTGAGACCCTCTTTTTGCTTCGGACTTGTATCTCCAATGTTTGCATCTCCTTGAGTTTACGTTTAAAATCGCGGACATTGACAGCCTGATCCCGTGGGAACGCAACATGTTACATTTGCAATTATTCAAAATGAGTGAATTCTATCTACTTATGATCAAGGAGCGACTACAGTCAGTTCCTATCCAAGGCAATAATATCCAAGATGGACATCATTCTCCCATTCCTCATTTGTTACTCCCAGCGATTGAGCGGTAACATACAACTCCGAGGAGGCATCTTGAACAAAATCAGTTGATACCTCGGCCCCGGTAAAGATTATCGGCTGGCATAATACATCACCGGACCATCCATTCCCTGTCACTCATACTCATCCAATTGAAGTCACTGCATCGCATGACATTTCAGTTCATCGCGTGCATCTCCAAGGAAGAGCGGCATTTCCAATCGAGTCGTCTTAGTAGACGCTCTTGACGTCCCAGCCGACAGCCATCACCCTGGCAGCAAGGAAACAGGCGAGTGCCAGCACATACGACAACCCATCAAATACAATGAGAGCAGTCCAGCCAGTGTTACCCTTGCCGCCAGCCTCGAGAATGGCACCAGCAATGGGCAAGCTGCTGAGGGTTCCAAAGCTAGCTACCATAAAAGCCGTCGAGATGAATCGTCCATAGTCGCGAGGATCGCAGAGCTGACCTACGCAAACTGGTGTGAGTCCCAGGTTACTACCACTTGCAAAACCAAACACAACAGCGAATGCGATGATCATAGCCTTGGAGTCTCCCGCTGGCAGCCACAGAGCAAAGGCCGATATGATGCAGAGCCCAAGCGTCAGTAGAATGACATTAAATCGCCCGATCTTGTCTGCCAAAAGACCGGGGAGAAAACGACCGAGCAATGAACCCGCATTGAGGATCGAAATCAAGGTGTAAGAGCTGTTGGCGTCGCCAGAGTGTCGTCCGGCATAAGACACGATGTACGTCAATGGCACGAAGAGTCCCCATTCCATAAAGAAGATTCCACATGCCGAAAATGTAAATTTCAGGTCTTTAAAGATGCTGAAGTCTGGCCAGACCGAGGACACCTTGTTTGATCGCGGGAGACGCGAGCGCATGAAGAGCGTGGCGGGAACGGTGAGTCCGAGGATGATGAAGCCCAGGATACGGGTCGTCCATGCAAAGCCAACGCTGGGCAGAAGTTTCTGTAGAAATATGGGAAAGATGATGCCGCCAATTGATCCTGCAGTCATTGCAACTCCAGTTGCAAGACCTCGCTTCTGGTCGAACCAATGGGCAATAGATGCATAGCACGGTGAATTGAGAAGGGCGCCTCCAAGGCCACCCACAACCGAGTATGACAGGAGAATCTGGTAGAATTCCTCGCAAACGCTGAGAATGAACAAACTTGTCGCGATGAGTATACCTCCAGAGGCAACAATAAGTCGAGGACCGTATTTGTCAAAAACAGGTCCGACTTGGATACCGACAAGAAAGACGAGGAAGAGATAAAGACTGAAAATCCAGCCGATCTGCGAGGACGAGTAATCACGAAGCTGGTTCTCGGAAAAGTACGACTCAAAAACAGCAGAGGTGTTGATGAGGCCGTAGATCGAAAACATTCCACAAAAGGACCCAAAGACTACAAGCCAGGCTTGGAGCCCGCCCTCTGGAAATTCGAGGTTCGCTTCACTGTCGTCGGTGCTGGCTTCGCTGGGGTACGCTACACCTCCGGTCTCGAGGCCCGCATCGTCCGGGGCCGGGACGGCATCGCCACGGGGGACATCGGGGTTAGTTTTGGGTATGGCCTGCTTTTCGTGCTGGTTTTTTAGGCAGCTGTCCTCTGCATTGTGTTCGTTAAATGTCATGTGTCGAAACACGGTAGATCACAAAAAAGGGTACAGTTTTTCTAATGCCTCAGGGTGTGAAGAGTGTAGTAGACATAAGATAACCGTTATGGATTGGGTTGAGATGGGTTGAGGGAAAGGTGAGTGGGGAGGAGGAGGAAGAATTTATAATCCCGGAAATAGGATCCGAATCGGTTAATAATTTGCATGTTCAATAATTGACAGTTGTGGTTGGGCGCTATTAACAAATGTCATGTTAGTGTTCGGTTCAAGGGCGCGGATGTGCAGGGCTTGGCATCAACTGTGAGTTCTATGACTCAATTACCAGTGTCATGTTCTATGACAGACAAGTGATTCGCTCTCTATATTCAAGTGCTCTATCTAATTGGATCTCAGAACATGGAATTGTTTCCAGTGATCAATTAAGAATCCTCGGTGGGACTCGGTCTCGTCTATTGGCAGTTATCCACATCGGATCTGGAGCCGCTCCGCATTCTTTGACACTGGGGATTTCACTTAAGCTTATTTCCTTGCACTGATGTTTAGTAACAGTGGTGAGGCCTGTGAGATTGAGAATTCGCTTAGTTTGGGTCCCATTCTTTGTGTAGTGATGTCAGTGTGGGCTAACGACACTGGCATCCCCAGGTCGGCATCTCGTTCCGAGTACACTAACTCCTTCTCAAGGAGTAATCTGCATTAGGTTGAGTACTATTTACAGAAATTTTATTGACAAATCAATATTATCTCTCAGTTTATGTCTCTCCTCTGGCTCGTATGTGTTGTCATCACTGGTGATAACCAGCGATCATGCATCTGTCAGGTTATACTCCCGAGATATCGAAACAATTGAATGAGGGTAGCATGTGGAACACCAGATAAAGGCTAAGAAAGCCATAATTTATACGTTCATCATTTTTAACGAACCGAAGGATGACGGTGAGTCGGCGTTGATGATGCTGACGACTTCATACATTGAAACAGTGACTCTCGACCACCAACAGATTGAACTTGGATATGTGTACTACATGACTGCGCGACTTTTGTTCAGTCTCATTCAACAATCCATCTTTTATGGAGAGAATCGAGTACTAGGGAGCCAACAAAAGCAACATTAGCCATACATGATGAATCCTACAGTCAACAATCACCTGTCGTCAACATCATATGCCCATCTATTATCTATAAATGCTAAATTAAATCCAAGCGCCAGATTAACACTTCAATTCAGCTCAAAGCCCATTACTCTTGCATGAAAAGACACTGCTCACTTGTCCTGCACGGAACTGATCAATGATACCCTGCACACTGACGTATGTTCCCAGCGTGAGGTACAAAGCACCAGTCAACATGATGACAACATTCAGAGCCACTGAAAGAACGTCAAGAATGGGATTTCGTCTCCTTCCGACCTTGCGGTCTGCATTGCGCATGCGAAAATAGGCCAGAGCCCAGAAGATGAAGCCGAACCAGCAGTTAAACAGCGACGACATGACTGACAGCACTGAGAGTATGTTAACGATGATCCATAAGTCTGAGAGTAGTCACCTACACGAAGAGAAGAACGGAATGATCTCAGCGATAAAGAATGAGGCGGCCCAGCTGATCAGCAACACCAATCCCCACCAGAACCAGCCCTTGAATGTGTGCGATGTGAGATGTTCGGAGTCCTTAAACATTCTGAAGAAGACAAATCGGCCTGTGACACTTGCGTACAGGCACCCGACAAAGATAATGGTTGGAACCATGAAAGAATACGAGACCTTCTTGTAGGTATCAGTGAGGACGCCGAAGGCTGGTGTGACCATGTACTGGTTGCCCGTGTAAACGTAGATGACAGACCCGACAACACTGAATGTGACAATCTCAGCCATGGTGCACGCCCACAATGCCTTTGGGAAATCTCTGTTATTTTGTCAGAATTATCACGGTTGCATCAAATGACATTGCAACTTACCTCGGATCACGCATCTCAGCGATAAAGCTGGGAATTGTAGTCTGACCAATAAATGTGTAGCTCATATTCATGAAAGCCGACATGCCAGTAACAAGTGTCGTGGTCTTTGGTGTCCAGATTGAGATTATCGGTTCACCCATCTCAGGATACCCAGCGGGATTACCCTGAGCGCCTGCAAATGCCGTTGCCAAGATGACGGAAATGAAGGTAAAAAACGTCGAGGCAAAGCCAAGCTTTGACAGCATGCTAAAGGTGCGAGGAAGCGACCCGATCCAGCTGATCACCGTGACTACCGCAGCGAATGCAACGGTTCTGCAGCCTGATATGGAATCGGCCTCGGTCATTGTGTTGAGGTAGATTGCACCGACCAAGACATGCAGAGCTTGAATGAAGGTATTGTTCAGGACAAACATGACTGCTGTCCACCACCACGCCCATCTCTTATTCCACCAGATCATCTGCCCAATGTCGCACACATCTCTAACCTCCGGATGTCGCAGACAAAACTCCCAGAGCACAAGACTCGTGTACAGAACAAGCCCAGCAATGACAGCCGTCAATATCAACCCAGGGACTAGACCCAGAAGGCTATACGACCAAGGGAAGCTCATGATAGAGAGCACAATGTACTCGCTAAAGAGCAGCCCTGCAGTCTTTTGCCAAGAACATGTCCTGTACTGAATAGCATTTCCCGCTTCGGAAGCGACTTGCTTGTCGACGAGATCTTCAGCTGCGGTGCTTTCGCTTTCGGATACATGCGCC